ATCAGTTATACAACGACCACGCACAAAACCATTCTGATTCAAGCTGGCTAAGTTAGGCAAAATCGCACTTAGTCTACCAGCAAGAATTTTAGCAATGATTTTATAGAAAACCTGACACAGACTGATTGGCCGAAGTTGACGCATCGTGTCTGCATTTGGTACTTTAGGGAGGAGAGTAATGCAGGTGTGATTGAAGCTCTGAAGCAACCTGCCTGAAGCAAAGAAGGACAGCACCGCCGCACTTATGTCCCGCCCTATGGTGTCCCAATGCGCCTGGAAGAACCCTGCAGAAAAACCATCGGAACCTGGCGCTTAGAAACGCCAAATGCTAAAGACTGCATTTTTAATCTCAGCAAAAGAAACTGGAGCGGTCAAGGAAATATTCATAGCAGCCGTAACCTTCCTAGGCAGTCGCAAGTTCTGCACATAAGCCGTGGGATCAATGTGATTAGAGGTGAAGAGGATTTGAAAATACGGAATTGAGATACCTGCCATCCCATCCATTGAATGATGCAATTCTCCCTCCGTATCCCGAAGACCCTCGATCCGGTTATTGCACCGTCTTTGAAGGGTGGCCAAGTGGAAGAGCCGAGTGTTCGCATCGCCCCCTTGCAGCCATTCTACTAGGGCTGGGAAACAGTCCGGTTCGGTTTAAACCGGACCGGATTGACCCGGTTTTTTACAACCGTATTGGAGAACTCCACAACCGAAGACGGGATTGGATTGTTACCCGGTTTCAACCGTGACCGGACTGGATTGATCCGGTTTAAACCAAAAAACCGGATCTCCTCTTCCACCCCAAAACACAGCTGTTTGAATGATAAAAAATCACCCTATCCTACCAAACTTCAATCCTAATCTATTCCCCAACCTCAATCTTCGCCGCTGCTCCTCTCGCGATTCTTCCTTACACTCATCCTTTCGCGATTCTTCTTCTCCTTCTCCCTCTTCTGGATCAAACCAAATACACCCAAGCATCGCCTTCTTCTCCCTCGAGCACTCCCCTGGCTCGCTCTGCCTATGAGCTCGATAGAAGTTAGAGAGGCGAGAAGAGTTGGAGCTGGAGAAGTGGTTGGAGTCGCGCGAGTCGGGAAGGGGAGATCGAGCGATAAAGGCAGCAGACGAACTTTGGAGAGGCGATGCATGTCGCCCATCGCATGTCAAGCGATAAGATCTCCTGGGTCGCCGTCGCCGTCACCATCGCCATCGCTGGGAATTTGGAGAGCTCCGTCGCCGTCGCCGTCACCACTCACCATCGCCGTCGAGTTCTGGTGGCGGAGTGGCGATGGTCCGCGATGAAATGGAGGCTGGTCGGATTTTCTTCTTCTCCTACTCTTGTGTGGTGGGTCGGTGATTGGAAAAGAGAGAAGCTCGAGGGTCAGAGGGAGAGAGGGTTGAGAACAGAGGAGGCGGCGGCATTTAGGGTTTAGGCTGGGGGGCGGGCTGGGCGGGCTGGGCTTGGGGCTGAGGGCTGGGCTTGGGGCTGGGCGGGTTGGGCTTGGGGCTGAGGGCTGGGCTTGGGGCTGGGCTGGGCTGGGCTTGGGGCTGAGGGTTGGGCTGGGTTGTATTTTTTATTTGTTGTTGTCCGGTTTTTCCGGTTTTAACCGGATCGGACCGGGCTTTTGGGCATTACAACCGTAAACGGGATTGGATTGGTTGAGATCCGGTTTCCGGTTGCAACCGGTACGGTTTAAACTGGCCGGTTTCCGGTTTGACCGGAAAACCGGGACCGGATTTCCAGCCCTACATCCTACCCTCGATTTTTGAAACCAGAAAAGTTCTTCTTGTTTATAGGCCTCGGCCAGCTCTGTTTCCAGCTGTTTAATGTGCTCCCAATCCATCATATCCGTCTCCCGAGCCTCTTCTATGGCCTGTTTATACTCCCGAATCGACCGGACAGAATTGGAAGTACCAACCCGTGCCCACTCCACCAAAGCATGCCGAACGGACTTGAGTTGGGTGAACGCGCGGAACTGAAGGGTGCCATGCATTGTCGTAGCCCATGCCTGACGGATGATATCCACAGCCTCTTGATTTGTATCCCAGCGCCCATCATAGTGAAACCGAGTCTTGGCGGGTCGATTTTGTGAAGTGAGCTGCACTAACAAAATTCGATGATCAGACCCCAAATCCGTAAGATGAATTACCTTGAGTTCAGGCCAGGAAGAAAGAACAGAAGTAGTCCCTAGGCATCTATCCAGGCGAGACAAGATATGAGTCGAAGCCGACCGCCGATTAGACCAGGTGAATGGTGATCCATGATATCCGAAGTCCACCAAACCTGTTGCATTCACAAACACATTTAACTGATCTAGGTCTGCCACAGACGGGACATTACCGCCACGCTTTTCATCTATGGACAAAAGACAGTTGAAATCACCCAGAATAAGCACCGGAAGCGAGAACGACAAAACCAAAGAGGACATTTCATTAAGTTGTTCCTGCCTAGTAGGAACATCACACGACAAATGCACAAAGAACAAAACAAATGACCCTACACCTACTACTGTACATTCAAGGACACAAAGAAAACTAGACATGAAGTGCACAGTACAAATGGTGTTGTGAGACCAGGCAACAGCCATATTCTCTCTCCCACTTTCATAACTATGACACCTACAATTGTGGAACCCCAAACTTGCCATCTTGCCACGAACAAACTCTTCATCACGTCTGGTTTCACTAAGGAATACGACATGGGGCCGAAACCGACCCGTAGCTCCCCCAAGCATTGGAATTGTCAGAGAGGAGCCGATTCCCCGACAATTCCAAGCGAGAATACTCATGGGGCACCACGGGACCAGTCGGGGCTGGTTGCCTCCACCCTTGCAGTTATGTCCAACAATTTGTTATCCCTCTTAACTCTTTTTGCTGTAGGGGAAGCAGGGCTGGCATCCATATCAAGCTGGCCTTCCTCCATGTCAGCATCCTTGCCCTGTTCCACAACCCCATGAGATGGCTCCGCCGTCAGAGAAAGTAAGTGAAGTTTCTCCCCAACCCGACCAGGACCTGGCCGGCGCGTATCTTCCCACGCAATATTGACGCGTGCACCTCCCGTGGTCAACAAACCCCCCCCCCCCCAGCAGATTGCAACCGAGGCAGCCGAAAACCACCTCCCCTTGCAGTAGCAGTAGGCCGTTTCGACATCGCCCGCAGCCAGGTAAACCGTTTCTTCCGACGGGACAGCATATCCTCAGTAACCTCAGGCCCCGATTCCATGGAAACGGTGAACTGCCCATATCGAGGAGGAGAGCCTTCCAGTTCAGCCTTGCGGGGGCAGTTGGCCCCGATATGCCCTATAATCCCACAAAGGAAACAGAACACAGGAAACCGTTCGAATTTAACCTTGGCCACGAAATTACCTTTCGATGGCGTAACGTGCCCAACCACAATCTCGTCGGGGAGGGGTGCCGTCAGGTCAAACACCGGCATCGCTCGCACATAGAGGCCACCCGACACATCCGAACGGTGGAGGGTTGGCGGTGTCGTCTCTCCTAGAGCACAGCCCAGACGTCGTGCCATATTTGCAGTGAATCATTCAAATGGCACACCCCAAAGCTGGACCTCCAGTGGCGCCCGCAGCAGTGAATCGACAACCTCTTGGGATGGAGAAACCCCTGAGCGTACCACAAGCATGAACTTGGGGAAAATCCATGGGGATCCTTTCTCAACTGTCTCCAAGTCCCTGGGTGTGGCGAACAAGAAGCGAAGCAGTCCGAATTCCACCGAGGAAATGGATCGTTGTCCAAATTCCAGACCCGTGAGAGTGTCGATTTCACCGCGTGAAGACCGGCGACAGCCCCACCAGACGCCCAATTAGCGAGCGCTCCTCCCTAATTGCTCCGGCAGCGACGTCATCATCATTGAATTGAACAATCACCGCCATTGTAAGGGTACACAGAAATAAGATACCCACCGGCCAAATCAGAGAAGAAGAGGAAGTAAAGCAGATGGGTACGCCATAGATGCAGTTTCCTGGCGATTTAAAGGCCATGCCAGCCCTCAAGATCGGGAGCTGGAGCCGCACGTCGGCGATGTGCCCGTAACGGCCGCTGCGCACGAAGGCGAAACCCTCTCCACTCGCCCGCGATAGAGCACGACGGAGGAGAGAGGGGAGAGGAAACAGTTTTTTTTTAAGACTCCACCTTCTTATTTTCCTAGTTATTGCTTGTAAGAGAATTGATTTCACCATTATAAAAAAAAACACCATTATAATTTTTTTATTACCTTGTCATTATTTATAACGTTTTTGGTTTGATTCGTGAGATTTATGGTGTATTTTCTTGTCTAGTATATTTCATGAGAGTTGTGGTGTGGTTGCACTTATTTCTTGTATGTTTTATGAGAACTTGTGATCTACTTTATGAGGTTTATAGTTTGCTTCAGAGAACTTGTGGTATGCCTTATGAGGTTTTCTGGTATGCTTCAAGGAACTTGTGGTATGCCTTATGAGGTTTTCTGAGGTTTCCGGTAGGCTTAATGAAACTTGTGGTATGCTTTGAGTTTTCTGGTATACTTTATGAATTTTGTGATGTGATGATGTCTTGATATGTTTTATAAGCTTTATTATCTTCTTTATGTTATTTGTGGTGTGTTGTTTTGTATTTCATGTATGTGTTTTGTGGTATGCTTCACAATACTTGTGGTGAGCAGCGCCACACGCGAGTGCCCTCTATAATATTTAAAAATGATAACCGTACCCCTCCCTTTATAAATCAACATTATTAATGGTTAAACCTTTAGAATTGAGAAAGTAAATTGTGTTAAAATATAGTTTATAGGATTAAAATCATTTGATATTAATGATGTTTCACATTTATACATATTTTGTAACCGACATAAACAGATATCATCGGTCAAACCATTCCACTTGCTAAACCAGTTCAATGGTATAACCTGGTTTGACAACCTTGTTTGGCTTTTATTATTGATGAATAAACTTAATAAATTTATTAAACAAGCAAACAAAAGAAAGTCCAGTAGAAGTTGTTGAGACCTCATCAATTGAAGTCCTTCAATCTCTTCTTCAGCACCTCCATCGATCTCTTCTTGGCACTCTGCTTCGCATTCCTGTTAGAAAGACTACCGAAGATTGAGTCAGCCGAATCCTTAAACTTCTCACAAATGGTAGCCACCTTCTTATAATCCAAAGTGTTGTAGTTCCTCTCCCGGATCACAGGGTTCATGAAGTTCTCCGGCTGGCTGCTCGACAGAAGATTGATCAGCTGCCTTGCTTCCACCAAACACGACCTGAAACTCGCTCCCTTGTATATTTCACTCAGCCCAGTACTGTGAAACCTCTCATCAGCAAAATTCTCCAACATCTTCAAATCATAGTTTAAGGAGAGCACTGCATTGGCGTTGAACCTCTTCACAGTATCACTTAGAAAAGCTCCAACGATGGAGTTCGAAATATGCTCCAAAGCACCACAGCCAACTTTATACAAAGCATCCAGAGGCAGAATCTTTTGAGCAGTCGATAAAAGTGTGTCGAGGTAGATCACCACCTCGTTTATGTACTCATTCCCATTCTGAGGCGTCTCCTCGGTTGTCCACTGAACATTATCAGTAAGAGCCATGAACTCCTCCAACTTGGTGTCCACCAAAGTCAAAAGCGCCAAGTAAGCAGCATCCCTTGAAGTTTTCAGGATCACTTTAGCAGTCAAACTAGCTTGAGCCCTCTCGACTGACCGAGCAGGGATTCCACATAGCTGGGCAGCATGCCGTAGGAAGAAATCGCATGCACGTTCGAGAACCGATATGTTTGCTGCAATCTGCATGGCTTGGGATACTCCGCGATGGTGCTGCTGTTAATCGTGCTAAGCACAACCTCATTCAGAATATCGATTAGTATCTTGTCCAAATACTTCCTCACAAGATCATAGATGTTTGTATGGAGACCATATGACAAGTAATCTACTGAGCCCTTGATGAATGACCTCACAATGCGACAAGTGTCAGGCACCATGGATGAGAACGGTGCTACATACGGGAAAGCAGGCATGATCTCCGACGTCTGGAGCTGAAACACAAGGACATTATTCTCATAATCTGTCTTTCTTTATCACCATTTGCTCGTACGTGTCATTTCCAAGGGCACCAACAATCTGCTCTCTACATTCCCTCAACAGAAAGTCGTGGTACTTCTCTCGGCCTTTATCCAGAGCCTCCAAGAGTTGGCTTGTGTCGTAACCATATTGCCGAAGTGTTTCAGAAAGAAGTGTGACATAGTCCTTCACTAGTAAGAGATGAGTAGCCGAATCTGTGCGGTTGAACTGATCACCTAACAAAGATGTCATTTTATTGAGAGTTATTTCCCACATTGTCTCAACTTGATCTGAAGAAAGAACACCACTAGCAGTCCTTAATACGCGATCCTCAACAATAAAGTAGCCAGCAATTTGAGCCAAGTAGGTCTGGTATGATTCAATGAACGGTTGACCATATGAGATTTGCAAGTCTGAGTTCAGCTGCAGGACCCGATTTTTATAGTAGTAGTCACGGAACTGATCACGAATCCTAAGGCAAGCATGGATGTGATGAGCTCGATAAAGAGGAGTGAGATCGAACTGTAATACTGAATCTTCATCGATTTCCTCAATTTCTAGAGTGAATGCAAAGTCTCCTAAACCGGAAACATTCTGCTCCTCGGCTCTCCTTTGCCGTTCCAGCATTTCTTCATCCCTCTGGCGAGCTGATGCTGAGTGGCTTATCGCTGTCTGGCCAATGGTCTTTGCTGAACTCCTTACATGAACAAGCCACTCATTGAACTGACTGGTGACCGTCTTCTCGATGTGTGTTTTGATGACTGGGATTGTCTTCTCCACTGCTAGTTTCAGCGATCTCATAGGGATGTTCTTCAGGTAATTCTTTTCGATCAAGTCCACAGTCTTCAGTGCCGGGTAGAAGTTACCATCCATCATGTGGTTGTTGCATTTGACACATAGCTCAAGGACTTGAACACATGATTTTGACAATTTTATGCCTTCGGTGACATTCTTCTTGATGGAATAGGACTCGAGAAGGTCCTCGAGCTTGATCAAGAGAGAGTTCCCAACTCCCTGGAGCTTGATGTTATCACTTGCGAGCTCACCTTTGAGCTCTTCAGCATCGACAAGGACACCACGAAGCTCATCAACTGCTAAGATGAACTCTTCATAATGGCTCTTGCAAAGATCCTCAATTTCCACTTCTTTTTTCTTCACTACACCTTTCAGCTGTTGGAGAAGGGCTTCAGGGCGTCCCATCTCAAAGGCGTGCCTAACGATTGGACCCAAATCTTCGCCATTGCCAATTAATGTGGCAAGGACTAGGTCTTCCCCTGTATCTCCATTCTCCACCACAACTCTCCTCTTCGGTTTTGGATCCATGGAATAACCTGCAAATGTGAAACCAAATCAATGGCACTTCTTCTGATTCTTCATCATCCAGTAATGAAAACACCCTAAACAGAAACATAATTCCCGTAGATTCCAAAGCTCCTCCATGAATCATAAGAACCCTCAACAAATTAAACCCAATTCCGGGTTTAGCCGAAACAGCAAAACCCAATACTGTAAAACGAACAACTACATCATAAAGAATCGACGATCAACCCCACAAGACAAAAACCCTCGAAAATTTTCAGGACAACAAAAGAACCCATGAAGGAGAATCGAAATCGAATTGGATAGAGGAACACTTACAGGAAGGTATTGAGCGACAGGACGCAGAGGGGTAAGGCTCCCTATTTCATCAAAGCTGTCGTCTTCGCAGGGAAAAGGAAAGATGAGACACCAGCTGGTTTTTGCCTTGTTTTAATCGTCGGAATGCTATAATGACAATATGACATTAGTAAGCGACCAAGAAATTGAAGAGTTTTTTATTCAAGAAGTTGTTTCGTGGAGATGCTAGTGGTGCCTTTGTTGGTTGTCAGTGTCACCTCTCTGTGTGTGTCTAGCTGCCTGCATTTCGCGTTCCATTTGCGGTTGTTTGGTGGCTTCTCCCCCGACCCAAATTCAATTATTTGATTCAAACTTCCTCTCATTTCTGCTTCTCCCGTCAGCAATCTGTTGGAAGAAGACTGATGTTTTCTTTTCTTTTTGTGTCGTGCTGGGCCTGTGTGGGGCTGTCGAGGGGAGGAGCGAGGAGCGGATCGGCGTCGGGGATTGGCGGAGAAGAGGGTTCGGATCGAGGAAACCAATTAATTAAGAGGTTGAAGAGGTTTTCCGCGATGGAAGGGAGCGGAGAGGAAATAGGCGGAGGAGAAGAAGCACCTTTGGCTAATTACAAAGTGATAATGTTTGCTTTGGCTAATTACAAAGTGATCATGTTTGTGATGGGACACTATGCAATAGTGTTTTGGTTACTTGTTCTTTTATAGATACTAGTTTTCTTGCCCGCGCTCCTTTGCGGTGGTAATCAATTAATGATTCTTAATAAAAAAAATTTCACTCATTCAATATTTTAGTTGAAAAAAAAAATATTATTCATAAAACTAGCTACGGGCCCGCCCGATGGGCGAATTTGGCTACCCATTTTAACCTAATATGAATATCCTCCGTTATCACTCAACATATCATTATTTTTGACGAATGCTAGCATTTAGATAAAAAGCATTATAAACGTATCCCACAATATCAATGAACATAGTTTATAAAGCAATGCTTTTCACTTCTACTTTGTCAGCCGAACAACGAACCCAAAGTCATAAATTAGAGCTCTTTACAAACCCCAAACAAATAAGAACATGATACAATTTTCTAGTCTAACTCATTGAAAATTGAAAACTCGGCTAAATACCTATCAACAAAGGCATAGAAAAATGAGAGTCTGCTAATGTTATGATCATGAGTTCAAGCTTTGATACCTTCTTCCTTCTTGGCTTTCCTTAATTCTTCCAGACTTTGTGTTGACATATATAAAAAGGCAGAGATTTAACCAATTCCAATTAACACAAAAAGATGGTCTCATGAAATAGCTACATGTAAAATCCTAGTAGTTAAGCGCATAAAATAATTAGCCATAATCAGGTTGAACATGAATCATCAAACCCACAAAAACTCTACAAATTAACATACAATGATATCACTTAGATTGAGTAGGGATTTAACTAATTGTAACTATTACTACGAAACATGAGTTAACAATAACATGCCGTAGAAGAGCAGCAAGTACCCTATCTAAATTGCTCCATAACACTCCTATTTTCTGTTCTTCTGAAAATGGAAGAACCATGGTCTGTTCCACACTTCCACTGGACACCAAAATCTAATTAAACAGTAGATATATTGAAAAATAAAACTTACCTGGATTTGCAGGGACAAAGAAAAAACGTAAGGTTATCAGTTTGAAACTCCAACAAATCAATATGCAGCCTTAAGGCTAGGAATTAATAGCAAGGACGGCGTAGTAGTGCAACGTAATCATAAACACAAGTTTGGGTAAGATTTGAGGGTGTGATTAATTTGCTACCCTGTGGCTAACAAACCCAAGACCATGAGGCAAAATTGTTGACGTGATCGGGTGGCTCGCTGGATGCAACTTCCGATTGGTAGAGGCCAAGCGGTGCGGTAATCCCTCTGAGCGAAATCCCCACCGGATAATGATATGGCTGAGGAAGGCGAAGTTGATGTGGGATTATGAACTAACAGTAACAGGTGGTTATCGCCTCTATCTGGTCAAAACGGGAGAATCCTAGGGTAAATATATATTGTGCCCTGCCCAATGTGGCAGACAGATTTAAGGTTTTGCCGCTGCAGCAAGGATTAAAAGTAATGCAAATTTGGGAAGAAGGAATTGTGGCCGTTAATGGTGTGAATGAGGAAGATGATGGTCATGTGAGAATAAGAAGGTAGAATTGAGCGCTAGGAAAGAGCGGTTTCCCTTGTCGACGGGATGGGGGGAAGAAGGAAACAGGGATTTATTAGGCTGACGTGGATAGGCTATGCTTTGAGAAAGCCTTACGTGGATGGGGGCTGAAAATCAAAGCGCTTTAATATTTTTATAGATAGATAGATAGATAGATAGATAGATAGATAGATAGATAGATAGTTCAAGTAAATCAAGTTATGGAAAGTATCACAACTAATGAAACTATACAAAAAATGTTAATGTATCTCATAGGATTCTTGTGTAATGTAAACTGATGTGATGGTGAACATGATAGTTAATTATAATTTTTACGAAATGTATTTATAATATAAATCCTTCGTAATGTGAAAATGAAAAAGCACTAAAATAGCTGTACAAAGGTAAAATTAACCTTGCGGTGAAATGAAAATTCAAGTTCTTCCGCAATTCTACAATTACATACTATTCCCAAAATCACAAATTCAACCATAAACAATCGTAAGTGAAGTTTTTGTATTTCTTATATTTATGCAAGTATGAATTATGAAGTTTTTGTATTTCTTATATTTATGCAAGTATGAATTATGTTACTCATATACGGAGTTAAAAATGGGTTTTTTTATGTTGATGAATGGGGTTTGTCAATTGACCAATGGGAATGATTATGAAAGGGGTTCTTACTATAGGGGAAAAAAGAAGGGAAGGAAAGTGGAATGGGAAAAACCGAAAAAGGAATCAGGAATTAATGAATGAGGATGGTGGGGCTGCACGCAAAACGAGAGTCATATTGATCAGTTGTGGTAGTCTGCACAAAAGCCCATGAATGTAAAGAAGTTAAAAAGCAATCAATGGCTAAGCTTTTCCTGCCCAATGCAAGTGAACCCAGACTTACCTAGAAACGCCCGCAGCTAGTCACAATACCCTTCCGTGAACAGTAGATTCCGATTTTTCTTAAGGAACAGTTATTTCGATTTTTGGTAATTTTGTTTAAACTTGTTGTTTAATAATTCTAATAATAATAATTTTCGAAAGGATCCAATCCGTGAACCTGCAATTTGACTGACACTATCAAGTATAATCAGAGCTGAATCCTGAATGAATATCCCGCCAATCGCCCTCACTGTTGTAAGTTGTAACCAACCCGTTCTCTACGGCTTCTCACCCAAAAGCATATCTCTTTCCGTTTTCCACTTCAATCATCCTTTGCCTTCCTGTTTCTCTTGCTTACCCACTTCGTCATCGATCTTTTCAATCGCTTTGTGCTTCTGAATTCAGCTTCAACGGGGTTTTCACCGTGTCTGGGTCGGTGTTTCCTTTACTCCAGCTTTATAAGCTTGCCGCTTTAATTACTGCTGTGTTTGTTTGTTCCAGGTACTGACTCTATTGGAGTTCAAAACGGAATTGCCATTCTCCTATCTGGGCTCCCAATTTTGAAGTTGGGAACCGGTAAGATGGACGCATTTGCACATTGAAGATTCCGTTTGTCTCCCCATGTTCCCATTTGTGTTGTTAATGGGTAAAAACTAAAAACGACAAGTGAACAACCAAGCCCTTCTTTGCTGACTCCCAAAGCGTAGGTTGGTCAGGCAACAACAGTTGGTGAGGCTTAGGTTGATTAGTGACCTGTTTTAAAGAGGACCCAGTTCTTGGAACTAACGACATGATAGTAAACAAGGAAGGGTCTGGAACTGAGACTGGCAGTAGCAGCAGGCCCCCTGTGGTGGATAAAGCGAGAGAGGAAGGTCAAAGTGGAAGAGACATGGCTGGGAATTCCATTCACCGTTCTGGTTCAAGGCCCCAGCTTGACCTTAGCAAGGCTGCAATCCAGGGCAATTTTGAGGAGAGGGATCCCACAATTCTGCTGCCTAACCAATCTGATGATATTTCTCACTTGGCTCTTGATATTGGAGGTTAGCCATTTCCCTTTCATTTACACTTGGTGGGTTGTGAATCAGTACTTCTGCTTCTCTGCTTAGTCTAGTGTGGTTATTGATGCGTCCTTCCCAGTTCCATATCTTTTGTTCATGATCTGTCCTGTTGCATTTAGGGGTCTTGAATTCTCCATTATTATTCTGTCAGGCTATCTGATCTAGTTGTTGAGGCTGCTCTTTTCCTTCTCCATTGTAGCATAGCTATTCCGTTCTAGTCTCCGGAAAGTGTGATTCGTGGTGTGCCTTTTACTTGGACATGCTCATGTAGCCTGGATAGCTTACTGCAAAGTATGATAAAATGTTCAATGCAATTAGAATCACTAAGTTATGTGCATGATTTATTTGCAGGATCTCTAATTAAACTTGTATATTTCTCAAGACGTGAAGATCGATCAAATAATGACAAGAGAACAAAAACACTCCAGGAAAAACTAGGGATTTCAAATGGTAGTAGGAGAAGCTTCCCTGTTCTTGGTGGAAGGCTACACTTTGTGAAGTTCGAGACGGCCAAGATTAATGAGTGCTTGGAGTTCATCTCTTCCAAACAGCTCCATTGTGGTGGTATTTAAATTTATAGTCGCTGCTTGGTTGTTCTCTTCGGTTGATTCCTAGCAACTCTGCTTACCTTCCTATGTTACTTATGTTCTTATGCCAGCCCTTCCATTTTCCTGCAACTTCTCTGAACAGGAGTAGATGTATGTAATGGACTTCTTGGAGCTGCAGCCAACAACAATGCTGTAATCAAGGTGATATTTTGGGTTTATCTTATGTTTTGAACACAACCATAGACTACTTTAAAGCTTTTATGTATATGTTTCTTAAGAAAACTAATTACTAGCTATAAGGAAAAATGGTCAAGAATCACAAAATTTGGCTGTCTGATGTATGGGACTATAGGTTATAAAGCAGTATAAACATACAGTAAAGTAGTATGCAGCTGAAGACTAATTTCCGACTTTTTGTGTTGATTTGAAAAGTCCTAAGCTTGGTCAAGTATTGCCTTGCTATTCATAAAAAATAAAAAACGTATTCCCTAGCCTGGAGCTGTGAGTTTTCATTTAGGTATTTCACAGCAATTGGCAACTCTGATTTTCCCAATTAGTTAATTGCCGGCTTCCTGTGCTCATTCCTGCTTCTGGAAGTATTGAATTTCCCCACAATATGTGTCTGATATTTCATGTTTCTAAAGGGATGAAGCAATTGCTTTTTATGCATGATTTTACTTTGGTTTGCCAACATTATATTGTTTTGCTTCCTTACATGGTTTAGCAAGTTTCAGTAGTAACAAGTGAATTTTTGTACAGGCCACAGGTGGCGGGGCATACAAGTTTGCCGATCTCTTCAAGGAAAGACTTGGGGTTAGTCTTGACAAGGAAGATGAAATGGATTGCCTTGTGGCAGGAGCAAACTTTTTGCTTAAGGTGGGAATGTGATACTAATTTCACTACTTCTGTTAATTCCAATTTTTAAACAGTAGGGTTATAATCTATTC